AGCTCCTTAACAGTCAACCTTTGCATTTCAAATACCGAAGTGGGTGCCATGATTTTATTTTGCTGCTGATAAACAATCAGGTGAGAATTTTTCACGCTATATTTATGTTTAAAAAGGGCTGATCAACTTCCATTTTAATTATTATTTTGGTTGCACAAGACTTGGTGTGACAGCACTCCTTTATGCATAAAAATAAAAATTCCGAATATTTATGTCGTAAACTGTATATCTGCCAACAGAATTTACTCAAAACTATAACTTTAATTATATATAATGGAAAATGCTATTTTAAATACATTATAAACTTTTTTTATGATTCTTTATATGATAGTTCTAATATATTGTTCAATTCCTATTATGATTTTTCATATAGCAGTTCTGACTTATTATCTGATGTTTATCATAATTCATTATATAACTTATTTAATTTGCTGATATTTGATTTATATAATAATTCTTTTAATTTATTCTTTGAAAGTTATGAAGTATATAACAAAACTCAAATAGAATTTATAATCCAAATAAATTCTATAGTGAATCTAAGCTATACAAGTATATTATTTATCTAGTAGAAATAGATACTTGGGCTAAATATAATGTATTAGATTGTAGGAGTACTCACTATTATATTTATATATTACTAATCCTTTTTTTTCCTGATTTTTTTTTTAATTCTGATTTTTTTTATTTAATTCTCTTTTTTTTATGTTTAGTTATACTGCAACACAGTTGGTTTTGCTGGGTTACTGAATGGATATAGACTGAGAAGAAGCCATTCTCTCTAAGAAAGTATATATTTTTATATAGAACTTAATTTTATCAAAGATCTACCTGATAGTATATATGTGAGATCTTTTATTGGATGACAAGTAGTGTGATACTTAATAATATTAGTTTTATTATATATATCTTGTATGTTTGTAGAATATAATAATAAAGTATCATATATGCTGCAGTTAAAAAAAAAAAAAAATAATAATTATTATTATATTATATATAAGAGTTGATCATTTATTGGTTACCTCACATCTAATGTTGAAAGTATTTATTTATTGTTATTTTATTACAATGCTATAATATTTCTTCCCATTTTTACACATAATACTAATTGTAGGACGTATTCATCATAATAAATACATCAACAACAATAATTATTTACCTTATGTTCTAACGTGAAGTTTTATTACAAATAGATAGATAGGATAATAAACAAGTTTCATGTGCTCCATTTAATAGTTAGCAAATACCTTTTTCCGGAATCTTTCAGTATATTGGATATTTAGATACAGTATATACTATATACAGTAGATATAATCGTTTAAATTTTCTTTATAATAAATAAAGTTTATAAGTGATATTCCTCACGAAATTTAATAGCAGGTTCATAACCATTAATAACAGCTAATTCTATATATTTCTTAGCTTTTTCTTTATCTTTCTCGCAACCAATACCATTAAAATGCATATGTCCAGCATTGTACATTGCTACTTTAAGACCATCATCAGCGGCTTTTTCAAAATATTTAAGAGCTTCTGATTCATTTTTTTCGACACCTTTGCCATAAAGCAAACAATCTGCATATCTTATTTTTGCTTCGGGGAATTCATTTGTTTCATCATCAGCAACTTCTTTAGATAATTCAGCAATAATTTTATCTTTATTTGGGGGGCTCTCAACATATCTTTTTGAAATGTAATATACTTTATAATATTTTGCTATGATTTGATTATGTTTTGCTGTATTTGCAAAGTTTGCATAGGCTTCAAAACATTTATATGCAGTTCTTAAATCTCCAACAATTTTACCATTTCTCATCAACTTATGTTGTTTTACTGCATCAGTAAGTGTCATATATTTAAATGATTCATAATCTGGAAAATTAATTGGAAGAGCAAATTCATCTTGATCAATGCTGAATGTTCGTTTTGGAGGATTTTTTATGGAGTCGTGTCTGCTTGGATTTGGACTACAAGAACCTGATGAATCTTGGTGATATACACAAGATCTAAGAACTTCAAGCATTTTTGTGATTTTTGGCCTAACAACTGGGTCATGAAGAACGGCTAAAAAATATGTGAAAAAAAAAAATGAAAATTAAGTCCAACAAAATAAATTATAATTTAAAAAATTTAAAATACCTTTTTTTACATACCATCAGTTGCTAATTCTTTAAATTCCTTTGGCATTTGACTGTTTTCAGAAAATGGTTCTCTATACATTTTATTACATACCTTATCAGCTATTACCATAATATCATTACTATCTTCATATGGGACCCTTTCTTCAGCAATTTCCCAGAGTAAGATTCCAAAACTATAAACCTCACATCTTTGGTCGTATTGGAAATTTTGAGCTCTTGTCAACAACTCAGGTGCAGAATAACGAGCTCGTTCTAAATTTTGCTTATGATTTAATGTAGCTGCAGTTAGGTAACGACTTAATTTAAAATTTGCAAGTTTTGCTATCTCATTGATTGTAATTAATATATTTTCAGCCCTAATATCACGATGTACAATCTATAAAATAAAAAAAGAAAGAAATATTAAACAATTAAAAAAAAATTTCGTTGATTAAAGCCGATTTTGAAATTACCTTAACGGCTTTTAAAAAACTTAATCCACGAGCAATATCAAGAGACATACGTAATTTTAATCTAAGATTAAATCTATCTTTATAATTTGTATAATATTCACGTAAATTTCCATATTGTGCCCATTCAGTCACCAAATACCATTTATTATTTCTATCACAAGTCAGCCCATAAAATTTTATGATATTTTGGCAATTATGAAGTTCTTTAAGAATTGTAACCTGATTTTGTACTATCTTTTGATCTTCATTATCAGCGATAGTTTTAAAAGCGAGTTCTTCACCTTCATTTCTTACGTTATACCATTTAGTCACACGTCCATCTTTACGTGATTTCTCATCTTCATCCACTCCATAATCATTAAATTCTAGTGGTTGTACCTGGAAGATATTATCAATTGTCACTTGATTTTTAGTATTTTCGTTCATAAATTTTTCCATTGTATTGCTCACTGTATTGACTTTTTCAATTGTTGAGGAAAACTGATTACTTAAGTTTGTGACTTGGGACTTAATCTCTTCTACGTTACCTCCAATATCACCCAACATTTCTACTATATACTATAATTATTAAAAATAATATAATTAATTTTTATACTCAAATAAGTGTATAATAAACCCAATTTTTAATCTTACTTTATTAAAATCATCTTTATCGGCTTTTAATTGTTCAAGATCATTAGAGATTTTAATGTCAATAGAAAAAGACAATAAATTAATATAACTCTTAAATTCTCCAATTAATTCTTTATAAGTTTTCTCAACATCTTTCGCTTTAAAAATTTTCATAAAAGAATTCACTTGAGAAATTTCTGATATAAAATTTTTAATTCGTACTATAACACTAGATAATTCCTGTAAACATGAATAATTTTGTTTATTAAAAAAATATTTATTATTTTCTCTATCTTCTTTAAGTTGTCGTACGGATAATTCTGCATCACGAACTAGCCTTTTTAACCTATTACAAGTTCGTTTATTATGCTCAGCAGCTTCTACTAAATCGATGATTTCATCAAAAACAGTTCCAATTTCTTTAATTAAGGGAAGAAAATTTGTGAATGGAACAAATGCTGCAGATACCTCGGCTACTGCACTCATCGCGGTACTTGCACCTTGTACCACTTTACTTGTAAATGAAGCACCATCTGCTACTTTATCACGTATATTCTTCTTTGATTCATTCTTCTCTGATTTATTATCTCCCATTTCTAATAATTTATCGAAAAAAAAGAGAAATAAAAAAAAAACTTTTTTTTACGAAACTCCGTTTTTATTTATTCATGTTATATGCAGTACCACCATTCTTTAAAATCTACAATGTATAATTTTGGGTATCATAATGGTACTATACGTAATACATTTTTATTTTTCGTTTAAAGAATTTATATTGCTGTACTAAGATAAATGCATAATCAAAAAAACGGACTATCATATAATTTAAAAAAACTGGTTAAATTGCATTTTTTCTTATTATACACTAGCTGGATGCCCGCGTTTCACGCGGGCCTGGCTAATTAAAATTATGAAAATCAGATACCTTTCTGCTAAACTGTTATATAAAGTCTAGAATGGTTATTAGCATTAATTTGGAATTTTGTGGTAAATAGGGAATCATAGGCTGTGTATGGCAAGTGATTTTACAGCGCTCACAATCCTTGCGAAATATTTTAAAAATTATTACATATTAATAGGAATATTAATCATTACAAAGTATAACAGATAATGAGTGTCAGTATAAATAATATGCAATACATTTTTTATTATAATAGTTATTATAATAGTTATAGTGGTTCATTAGGAAGCCGGCAAACCTAAAAAACATTCAAAGAATCATTAGACCTAAAAAAAGGTACCAAAATTTAAAAAAAGAAAAGAAAAAATGATTAGTAATTATGAAAAAGAATTTTTTTAAAAAAATTAAAAATATAATTCAAACTAACCTTCACTCTGAAAGGTACCACCAAAACCTAAAAAAGAGAAAAGGGTTGTTTCCTACAAAAAAAAAGTTAAATTAGTGACATTTTTTAAAGTTTAAAATTCATTTTCAGAACTTACCCAAAGTTCTCAAAAATTGATCATCTACTAAAAAAAAGAAAAGAATGAAACATCAATAATGTTTCGTTAAAGAAATAATGTTAGGAAAATATTATTTACCAAAATTTACATCTGTCCAAGGTGTTGCAGTACTGTCTAAACTACAAAATATAAAACACAAAATGTTAGTTTTAATGTTTCATTTCATTAAGAAATAAAAAAAAATTAATAAAAAACACTTACAAATTCCATGTCTGGAAAGAGCCAAAGAACCACCCTACAGAATGCAAAAATAAACATTAGTAAACATTTTGTTAACTAACATTATGTTAAAAGAAGCATTTTAAAAGAACCTACTAAAATTTCACACGTCCAGAATCATGAACAAACCATATAAAAAAGGAAGAAACATGATGTTAGTAAATGTTTTGTTAAAAAATTTTTCAAAGAAAAAATACTCACCACAATTCTGTTCGTGTATAAATTATTCCTTATTCAGTTATCTAAAAAAATGAAAAATCAAACTGTTAGAAATGTTTGATTAAAAGAAATGTATTAAATCCTTCCTTACCAAATTTCCACGCGTCTGAAGACAAACCAAGAAAACCACTAATACCTAAAAAAAGAAAGCTTTATTTTTTTGGTTTTTTTTTGGTTTTTTGCATAGTTATTAAATACCTGTAATTGCTGTTATTAGAAATGTTCAATTCCCCTGGTAAAATCCTACTTTGAGAGCTGTGCAGGCATTAGAAATTAAAAATTAAATGTAAAAGAAAAGGTGTATTTTTTTTAAAAGAAAGGAATTTTTTTTCGTCATATGAGAAAATTCAGAAACTGAAAAATATTTTTTTTTTAAAAAAAAAAAAAAAGAAAATGTGTCATATGGGAAAATCCAAAAAACTTTTTTTTTTAAAAAAAATAATGATGATTGCTCAATAAATTTTTTATATTTTATATTACAATTAGTACTAATTGGATTAGTTGCTATAATTTGTTTTTACGCCAATCATTTATGCAGCAAAATTCAAAATTGTATTGGGATTAGAGCTGCTAATCAATGTCAAATGATGCGCCACTCTAAATCCCTATATAAAAATCTGTAGCACAGGGCGCAGACACATGATGATGAATGATCCAATTTAAATCCACCTTTTATGCAGGGTAGTCTTAACGTCACGGTCGCACAATGCTTTTTTTTTATAGATATAGATTGGTTCAATTTCATGTGATGATCGACATCAAACAGATCTTCCAATATTTTTGAAAAACATTAAATATGATTGATATTAGCAAATAATTTTACAATATGATTGAAATACATTAAATATAAACTTAAATTAATGATATTTAGTAAATATTCTTGTAATATGAATAAAATATTTTTGAAATACTTTTCTATTTTCATAAATATGTTAGATATAACAATATATAGTTACAATTCAATAGATAAATAGATAAACTGTACTGTATGGTCAGCTAAACTGTATTATATGAAAATATTTTAGCCAATCATAACTCATTGTATACTTATCAAATTTTATTTATTTATCGTACAATAAAATCTGATTGGTGAGTTCTTACTTTGTACAGTACAGTTTAGCTAACTGTACAGTACAGTTTATATGTATACTCGTTATATTTTAAAGTTACATAAAATTAATTAAGAATAAAGAATTACATTAGAATTAGTATTCTGTATATTTTGTATAAATCAAATTTTTTTTCTAAAATTTGATTTGATTCAGATTTAATTCAAATTTAATTTGACCTCTAAAAATAATTATCTTGGGATTTATATCAGAAAGTTCAGTAAGTGTTAATTTACATCAGTATATATTAAGGTTACTGGAGAAATTAGGGGGTTTTAGCAAGTTAGCGAAATGCCAAAATGGCAAAACTTTACCAAAACTATATATTAAAAAATTGGCGAAATTCTGGAGAAAAGCAAAACCTGACAAAACTTATTATAAATGCTGAAACTGCTGAAACCTTGTCAAAACTATAATAAAACTATAGTAAAATCTTAAAGAAACTAATCGTAGAATTAGGCAGGCAACCTTAATATATATATTAATTAATATTAGCTAGTTGTTCAATATGATTTACAATATTAATCTGAGTATACCAACATATAATATTAATACACTTACTTTAGAACTTTCTGATTTGTTTTCATATGTATTTTTTTCATATATTTTCCAATGATGTAATAATAATTAATTATAAATAAAAAAGAGTAAATTAAGATACCAGAAGAAGTTTCTAATGTAAATTTTAAAATTTTTGAAAATAGTATTATATGATAATTAAAGTGATATAAATGATGAGAAAAAATTATTATTAAGAAAAATATATTATATAGTATATAATAGTGAATATTATTTTTTGGAATCAAATCTCTATGAAACAGAATGATCATGATTAATCAGTAGATTCTATTTCTATTGGTTGAAAATGAGAAAAATTTTAATGATTATCATATGTATGTGTTACCAAAATTTTTGCTTAAGATAGAATTAATTAAAGATTATTGTTAGGATTACCCATGAAATAGTTAAGATCAAACAAGTTACATGATGTAGTATGTAGAAACTAGAAATCCTATGATTATAGCTGAGTTTATTACAATATGAAACATTTCTTATAATATATTTTAGTTTTATTAGTTATTTACATTAATTAATCACTTTTAGTATTATTATTACTTTTGACTTATAAGTATTCAATCATAAGTATCAGTTTAATTATTATAACCTTAGAAAATTGCTTTATTAGTTTAGCTAGAGAAGTTTCTTAAAATTTACATAGTTGATAAATCATATAAATACATAGAACTTATACGAAATAGCAATAGAAAGGTTTCTACAGATAATTGCAATGGAAAAAGGACAATTGATTGATTAATCATATTAGTATAATAGGATAATATTGATAAATTCAAACTAATATGTGTGAAAATGTAAACATATATAGAGCAATATTTTCTTTGAATAAAAGCTATTAACACTTGAGTAAATTTAATAGAAAGTTCAGATTGTGTTATCTGAAGTATTGTGTTTTTGTATGATTTGTTTGCTAGTTTTTTTTATAGTAAACTTTTCGCGTGTTTTATTTGTTTTATCTCTGTATTTGTTATTATTCATTTGATAGATTTTTATCTTTAAGAAACTTTTAAATTGTTTACCAATATTGTTAACTTTCTACTGAAAATTATTAGTGATATTCTTATACTTTGTTACAATATTATTAAAACACTTATAATTTTATTACTTGGCTTTTTTGTCATGACTGTTTCTTTGACGTTAGTTATCACTTCAGACCAAATTGGTGATAACATATAGATCTTAACCCTAACCCTAATTTTTGAGATATAATCCTAAGTGACAGTCATTAAATTAATACATGATAATACAACTTGCAAGCATTTTAATTGATAATAATTTCAATTAGATTTAATACAAAATTATGTTTTATAAAACTTTTTATATGCTGATAAAATTTTACATGTATTATTAATTTTTTTTCATTTGCAAATCACAAAAATGGTTGATCCAGTCATTAAATTTAAACAGATAAGACATAGTTTCTTATATAAAATTATAAAAAAATATATATATCCTAATAAATTATTATTAGTTTATACTCTTCTTTCAAATAAATATTGTATTCCTGATAATTATATAATAAAAACAACTTGAGGTAGAAATACAAATCAATGTACTGTTCAATGTTTTATTAATTATAATGATAGTAAACCAGTATTTCAAATCTGGTTTGAAAAATATTTTGAATATAAGGTTTCTTTAGTCAAAATTGCTACAGATGTTGCAAATTTATTTCATAAAGTTTATATATTAAAATGATTTTTTTTTCACTTTTAATGTAAAATAATTTAAAAAATTTCATTTTTAATAATAGCCTAAAATAATAGTAGATAATTGAATTTGAGTTGTTTTAAAAAATTTTAAAGTTTTATTTTACAAGATTTTTAAATTAGAAATTTAGATTTTTATCTTAAAAAATTTACTAATGATTGCAAAACCTCGGATATCTTTTTCAAAAATATGTTCTGGAAAACATTTACTGATGAGTGACTATATTCCTCTATAATCTTTTGAATTTAACTGTTAGTAAGTTTTTGAAACAAAATTTGCACTATAAGTTTTAATAAGCTTGATTTTATTTAGATCTATTTCTTCAAATAACATAAAACAGATAATTCAAATAACATAAAATACAGTATTTTTTTTTTTAGAAGAAATAATCTTGCACAATTAACAATAATATTTTTCTGCATATTTCAGATGATTAATTTACTTTTTTTTTACATAAAAGAGAATAAAGAATAATTTAATTTATAGAATCAGTATCTTTGAAGTTTTTTAAAAAAACTGAGGGTTATTATTTGCCTTAGCATTTACAATTTTTCATTAGTTTCAGATTTTTTGGTCACATGTCTCT